AAGATTAAAATAGTTTGTATTAAGTATTTTTAGTATTATACCATCAATTCTTTATACATCTCTGCATTTTTATATTATTAATTAGTGTTGCATAACAAAAGTAAAGTAACAGGTTTTGTGTGTGTGTGCGTATTCTCCTGTCCCTTGTTAGAATTTCGCAGCTCATGTTATTTGTGCATAATTTTGTTATTCCTCTGGGTAGGACAAGCACTGGTAGTTTTCCCTGGTAGTATTGAGCTGGAGCCCTCTTAGCATTCAGTTAAACTGATTGGCAATGACAAGACACTTGAGAATGGGGAGTTTTCCTGCTCTTCTTGGAAGAATCTGCTGCTCACAAAATAGAAAACAAAAAATTATTAAAAAATAATAAAAATCATAATAAATATTCATATTATTCTTGTGGAAATAAAACCAATATTTTTTTACTTATGTGAAATGTTACAGAATAGCTAAATTCATCATCTGGTTTGTTGTTGTTGTTGTTTTGTTTTTAATTCAAAATAATAACTTCAGCTCTAAGCTATTTTCAGTTAGCTGAACTCATCTTCCTTCACTGCATACGTGCAGGTATTTCGATGTCCATCGTATCTTTTTAAGTCTTTGCTTCCCAGTAAACTGAAGCAGTAAATACTTAGAATGGTAGGGGATTTCTTCAACACTGCTTTTCTTAACATAAGGTAGTATGAGCTGCCATTATAGCTGTCCCTTTTCATATTATTTTACTTTTTTTCCCCCTACTTTTATAAAGCTGTTTGAGATGTGAGGAATTATTAGGGAGAAGGTCTATTTTTTTTCTCTTATTTTCAGTTAAAATTGTTCAGTAATTTGGAGAAGTGAAGAATGAGTGTAGTCAGGATATTAAGTTGAAGGAATTTCCTGATTCAAAGTAAAACTCATGAGAGACAGGCAAGGGAAAGAAACTGTGATTGAATCCTGTTGCAAAAGAGAGAACTGGTGATTTGAGGAAAAGGAACGGGGCTTATCATCTTCCTACATCCTCCACGGATTCAGTTATTTGTAATCCCAGCCAAGCAGTGATATGGCCCAGCTTTGTAACCTTGTACTGTTGAAGAAATCAGCAAGTTGTGAAGGATTGTGAGGAAGACTGCAGAACTACACAAGTTAAAGAAGGCAAAACTGTAGCAGTAGGGTTATTGAGCCAGGGATTGCTAGTAGTTCAATGATCTGAGAAGAAAATAGGGGTTGTAAAAACAAAACAAACAAACAAACAAACAAAAAAACAAAAAAACATTAGGGTGGGAATCAAGAAACATTAGGGAGGGAAAATAAATGGGAGGTGTGATAAAGATTGTAAAGAGTAGTGAAAGTTGATTCTTCTCATTCTGAATGATGCTTGATGCTTTGTGTTGTTTTTTTTTTTTCAGGGCTGGAGTGTGCCAATACCTAGTCTAGTAGTTTATTAAATCCTACGTATCTTTTAGATGTTAGCCACCAAATAACAACTGTTAAGTTGTATATGCTAACCTTGCAGAATCTCTTTCTACAAACAGAGGTAACCCAGGGTGGAGAATTACAGTCTATTTGAACAAAGAAATGCAAAATTAAAAATGCAAAAGTTTAGATAGGGGTAAAGGAAACCAAGGACCAGATATAAAATCATAGAAAAGCACTAGGAGAAGCACTAGGAGGCATGAAATAAAAGATAATAATAGAATAGAATCATAGAATGCCTTGGGTTGAAAAGAACCATAATGATCATCGAGTTTCAACCTCCTTGCTATGTGCAGGGTCGCCAACAACTAGACCAGGCTGCCCAGAGCCACATCCAGCCTGGCTTTGAATGTCTTTAAGGATGGGGCATGCACAACCTCCTTGGGCAACTTGTTCCAGTGCTTCACCACCCTCTGTGTGAAAAACTTCCAACCAATGTTTAACCTAAATCTCCCCTGTCTTAGTTTAAAACCATTCCCCTTTTTCCTATCACTATCCACCCTTGTAAACAGTCATTCTCCCTTCTGTTTGTATGCTCCCTTCAAGTACTGGCAGGCCACAATGAGGTCTCCCCAGAGCCTTCTCTTCTGCAAGCTAAACAAGCTCAGTTCCCTCAACCTTTCCTCATAGGAGAGGTGCTCCTCTGGAGCCACTCCACGAGTTCCACATCTTTCTTGAACTGGGGGCCGCAGGCCTGGATGCAGTAATCCAGATGGGGCCTCACAAGAGCTGAATAGAGTGGTAGAATCACCTTCCTCTCCCTGCTGGCCACTCCTCTTTTAATGCAGCCCAGAACATAGTTGGTCTTCCAGGCAGCAAGTGAACACTGCTGGCTCATATCCAGCTTCTCATTTAGATAGTGAATAAGAGCATAGGAAAATTATAGATCATTGTACAGAAATCCAGAACTGTGTAGATAGAAAGCTTAAAAACAGACTGTTAGAGTAAGAGTTTAAGTGAGTTTGGCAGAGGGATAGAGATTGGGTTACATGCAACGTGAAGAGAGAGTCTGCTAGGCTTAGAAAGAGTTTGTGCCTAGGTGAAGGAGGATTGGCTGAGAGAGGAAGATGAGGAATCTGTAATCAATAGAGCATATTCTCCTCTGGTGTATAAAATTAAATTTAGCTTTCGTAAGTTTCATCATTGCATTCCTCTCTGCAAAAGTCTGTGAATCTCTCGCAAAGTAAGTCAATGTCTTCTAGATAAGGCACCATGTAACCAGTCAGTGTAATTACCAGAACTCAAGTTTTGATTTTGAAATTATGTACATATTATTCTTGTTGTTTATTATTTGTCAACAGTAAGTTTTAAGTTAATATATGTAGTCACTTCAAAATAATCTATATGTATTGTATGGATAGCCATTTCTACCCTGTTTAATTCCATTAGATTAGTGCAACAGTTCTTGATTTTCATCTCAGCTTCAGATTTCAATTTAGCATGCTTTTGGGAATCTCTTCATAATACTTCATTTTCAACAGAACAGCATGCATCTTATATTCGGGTCCAAGGTTTATTGGTAGTCTAGTTAAAATATTGCAAAATTCATTACTGGTCCACCTAAAATCCCACCCACACAACACACTAAGAATCAGAATGATTCAATTAAAGCAAAAGGGAGAAAGCAGTCATACAGTTAAATCACTAATAAACAGACTCTTAGTCAGATTTCTTCTTCATTCTTCTTATCATGCCTGGTTTCTAATTGCGACTTGTCTTCCTCATGCAAGCACAGGGGAGCACAATAATGGGTGGGAGTTGCTAGCATACCACATCCCACCAGAAGTAGGGTATTGTTTTCCTACTTTTTGGATTGGTTTGGGTATATTTTTATCGTTCTCATCTGTGTGCTTCTTTCCTATTGATCTCCACTTCTATACTGTCCACTTGTTTCTGCTTAATTATAGTCATTTAATTGACTTTTGAAAAATACTTAAAGGCAAACTTCTTAAAGTATATTGTCAGTAAGAATTAGATAAAGAAAATGTATGAAGATTAAGGGTGGTGAGCAGGCCTTTAGTTAAGCCATAGGCACCTGAACATTTGAGTCTGCAATGTAGCAATTAATTGCAGTGGTAATATTGTATTAACAGGGCAGCAAGCCTACAGTGTCTTGATTTTAAAGCTGCCAATATGCTTATGCAGCAAATTATATCTATTTAACGATTTGTAGTATTAAAGTGAATATAAAAATATAAAGAGACTGATTAACTGAAAAGTTTGTTATATCTCTTCAAGTGATGCTTTTGGAAAATGTTATCTTTCTGCAATTTGTGAAGAAATACTAATGGAAAAGAAGATATTGAATTAGACCTATGGAAGAGAAATGTTTAAGTCTTAAGAAAACAAGGACACCTTGCTTGCTGCTCTGCTAAATCAGTCACACACTGCTGATACAGGCTAGTTAAAGATTGAGGAACCATCATAAATCATCCTGAAGCCAACTTGTTATTAAATATGTCAAGAAGTGGAGCTCACTAAGTTGATAAAGGTGACATTCCAGATATGCTCTTCAGCTAGTATTTTCAGTTTCTTTAATTTAGAAAAGTAAAGATGGGAATAAGACCCAAAAAGGGGATGAAAAATAAATACCTTCTGTCGTCTTCTGGTTGTGGGCAGATTCAGAATATTTAATGTATATATTCTCATTAGGAATATACCATAATAAGCAATGGATAAGTAACATTTCCAGAAGCCACTACATCGCTTAGAACAGAAACTGCGTTTCACAAGAAGTTCTGGACACAGACTGGATGTTGGTGGATTGGAGGTGGTGCTGTCAGGGCAGCATAACGAGACAACACGCAGGGGCCAAAATGTAGGGTATCCCCGAGTGGGCCAGGCATGCTCCAGAGTACTTGGATAACCCCAGTCCCAGGGACCAAAAACCTTCCTGGGCACAGGGAGAGGCCAAGGCTGGGCCGAGTGGTTTTGCGATGAGACTGGCTGGGTGGGGACCATGGACAGATAGGGCAGGGCTGTGGCACAATGGATTCCAGGCCCGCTGCAGCCTAACTGGGGCTTGAACAGGGACAGCTGCGTCTCATGGTGAGTCCAAGATGTGTTAGTCTCTACTGATTAACTGCTGATCTGTAAGATCACAGTAGAACAGATTTAAGGTGAGAATGCTTTAGGAAGCAAGTTGAAGCTACTTCAGAAAGGGAAATAAAACCAAACCTGCTTTCAGCAGCAGTTTAAAAATTGGAATCGAATGTCAGTAAATAATATCGTAGAGCTGTATTGTAATTGCTTGACGTATCACTCTTGTGTTTCTTTTCAATGATGTTCATTACTTCTCTCAACATTTTGAGTAATCATGTTTCCGTTTGAGATATGTTTGTATTTCTTCTTAACTTAAGAGACTCCTGCAATGTTCCAGCTTCCTAGTTCTGACTGGGTGTAGCAGAAGTGCTGTCATGGCCTGACCCAGTGATTGAGCACCTGGTGTGAAGGCAGGGCTAACCCAGGGGAGCTCAGCTGCATGGAGTGTGCCTGAGTGACTGGAATGGGTGGAGGTGGGATCCACCCCTTCCCAGACCTCATTTAAGGGTTGGCAGTGGAGGTAAGAGACTCCTGCTGGAGATCTTTGTGTATCAGAGGCATTCTGGGGGTAAGCATCTTCTTTTTGTCATTTCTGCACCCATGGCTGCTGTATTTGAGTCTTTCCTCATTTTCTGTAACCTAGGAGTTTGTTTCTAAGTTATTATTGCTATACTTTCTATTGTGTTACAGTGGTAGGGAAGGGGAAAAACACTCCTGTATCTTCTGTTTATGTGAGCTATTTATCTTCATTACTGAAGTGCGTTAGTGTCTCATTCTCTAGTGTGTATGTGCTTCTCTAGTAACCGTTGACAGGCATGGTAGTGTCTCATGGAAACAAAACGGTCACATGCTTTCTAGGAGTCTGAAGTAAGATATCTTCTCTAAGGTTACACAAGTAACATCTGAACTGATGAGCAGACCAAGTTACACCGAGTCTGTGTTGCTTTGTGGCTTCCACCTGTCAAACTAACGTGACAGCAGTCGCAAATAAATGGAGTCCACAGACATCCAACTAGGATTTTGCTCCCTTGTTGTCTTCTATAAATCACGAAAGACATAACTGTAGAAATGCAGTCTTTCAAACCATACAGTGCTCCAAAAGTAATGCTATTTACTTATTTTTATTTATTAGGTGGCCTTTTAAGGCGAATGTTAACTTTTTCTAATATGAGTACTTAAGAATACTTTTTAACAAAAAGGAGCCTGCTACAAGGGAAATAATATTCTGATTATCAGAAAAAAAATAGAATAACAATGAACCAGAATTTGGATGCTAAGGTACTTTCTATTGTTGGCTTTAATAAATCTCTTCAGAGACTATTTTGTTTTTTTATAAAGTTTGAATTGCTAGAAATTTGAGTGCATTATTCAATATACACAGAATGCAGTAGTACTCTGAAGATGATAAGGGATGTAACTGGAGTTTTGTCTATCACTACTCAAAAAGAAAGGTGTAAAACTGTCCTGCTGTCCTTTAAATGCAAAGCTAAGTATAAAGACTTTTCCTCTCTCTCTTTTTTCTTCCTGAAATAAAACAGGTCCACAGTTGTGACACTGGTTTGTTTTGGTTATTCGATTGGGTCCTCTTGTGGCTTTGATGAAAATAAGGTTAATTGACTGAAGATAGGCTAGAATTTATATCTACTGATTTTTCTTACTTAACTAGATGTTTCCTTTAGCTTCAGCCTGCCCAGCCTCTTAGAGAACAAGATATAAAATTTGTCACCCTAATTCTGTAGTTTTAATACAGACAAGATGGGAAGTGTCATCAAGTCTCATATGCTTATTCCTTTTACAAATTGCAAGTTTGTTCATTTTAAATTCAAGAAAAGACCTGCCAAAAAAAAAAAAAAAACCAAGAAAGAAGTGAGAAAATGGCAGTATCTCTGTATTTTATGAATTGTTTGAACCTCCAGAAGCTTTGCTTTTTCTCTATTCATAGTTTATGAACTGTTCCTTTACAAAAAGGAATCTGGAAATTAACACTTTGTGCAACAATAATTGTTAATAGTAATTGGCATTCTGTTTGTGCTTGACTCAGACTTTGCTTAGAAAGTTAGTAATACCACTTTGCAGATACTGGGAGACAGTAAGGACTATCTTATAAGAATAAGAACAGGTACTTAAAATCAGAAAGTTCCCCTTCTGTTTTAACAGCTCTGTATATCTGCACAGTAGCTGAGACTGATCATTTCAGCATTACTCTTTTTTCTCATTTTTTTAATTTATCTCAATAAATACATTTTGTCCTCAAAACAGTTTTGAATTAAAAACAAAAACAAACAAAGTGCAAAGACTCCTAGCATAGCAAAAAATCATTTCTTCCCTCCTAGAGAACACATTGATTTTGTATCTAAATAGACAATTCATTAGAGTCAAGTTAGAAGAACAGAGTTGGATGGATGACTGTTTTTTATTATCTGTTAATGTACCAAGGTGCTTAGTGACTTTTCCAGGATTTTTTGATAAATTTTAAGCTTTGTTCTACTCAAAGAGTGGTGTATTGTACTTTACATATATTTTGTAGCGCAGAACATGCACTAGGAACAATGCAAATGGCAGAATTATCAGTCAAAGTTCATTATTTCATTGTACATAGTTCAAATGCATGCAAATGAGGCAGAAAGGAGAAGAAACGGTTACACTTCGTGGAGGGGTAGAGAAATCCTGGACAGGCACCTGTTTCTGATACATGACACAGTAGAAAGTGATGCTGTCCTTTGGCCATAGGAGATAGTGTAGGTGATTGGACTGAGTTATAGTCATTGGAGCATACTTAATCCTTAGCATGACTGCTTCAGACTTAGCGCTTGAGGCTGTTTTTCTGGAAATGAGTGCTTCAAGGTAGCTGCTTAAAAGGTTTAAAACCAAACCAAAATAAAATAGAAATTATCTCATTTACTAGAATGTTACTGATTCAGGGAACTTTTCTAGAATGAACATAGGACCTTAGGAATCTCAAACAAACAAAAGAACTGTACTGACTTGGAAGTGACCCTGAGTGAAATGATTGTCTTGTCAGTAATAGTGCATGAGGAATTATAGCAAGAGTTGAGTGGGTTAAAAACTAGGCAAAACGATGTTAACAGTAGTAGTATAATTTTTATATCTCTTGTGCAATAACCTTTCATGAAATTTAATAGTCATTTTATGTGATTTTATGTGTATATATTCTACAGCTGCACTCTAATTCCGACAAAGGTGATGGATCAGTCAAATACATTCTTACTGGAGAAGGAGCGGGAACTATATTTATTATTGATGACACAACAGGAGACATCCATTCAACCAAAAGCCTCGATCGAGAACAGAAGACGCATTATGTGCTTCATGCCCAAGCTATTGATAGAAGGACAAACAAGCCACTTGAGCCTGAATCTGAGTTTATCATCAAAGTACAGGATATCAATGACAATGCACCAAAATTTACAGATGGACCATACATTGTTACTGTGCCAGAGATGTCTGAAATGGGTAAGGAAAACAAGTTACTCTATTCAGCAGTTTTTTTAACAAAGGAAAAAAAGCCACATGCTGTTTGATGATGTTATGACTCTGTATTGTATCATTGGCTGTATGTGAAAAATATTACAGTTGAGAAGACACCAAATCTTGTACATTACTAATAATTTTTGTTCTGAGAAAACAGTACACATACGTGCTGACTGTAAAGGAGAGTCACCCTTATTCTTGTCTGGTTTGTGATGCATGTTCCATTGCGCTTCTAGGCAAGCTGCAGTTTGCATTCTAGAAACAAGATATATTTGTATATCCTTATTCAGCTACACTGTTTATTTCATTCCTTTATGTTTACAAAAGCAATATGTGCAATCCACTGAATTAAACAAATTTGAAGGAACAGTAGTTCACTATATTATTTTAGACCATTCTCTCTTATCTTTGTTTACCTTTTTTAATTTTTATAACATGAAATGAAATACACTTAAGTGTTGATAATTGTTTTTTGTGTGTGTTAGAAATGTAGTTCAGATATTCTTATTCTTTAACATGCCTTATTATACAATCAGTTTTCTTTATAGCTTATCTGTTGTTGAAATTAATTTATAACTGTAGGATCTCAATATCAAATATACATAATTAGTTCAGGGTTGACAGGCAAATACAGCTCTTGTGATAAGTACTTCTAAAGAATGGTCATGACATTCAACCTATCTAAGTCTACTTTATTTATTAATGAGTGGACAGTACAGATCGTTATTTCATGAAAATGTACTTTTACCCTGCCCAGTAAAATACCTATGCACTCCATCTAAGAAGCTAGTTTAGAGTCCAAGATGTGTCAGATGTCTAACTTTTATGCTCTTCTCTGCTTGCTGTTTGTCAGATAAGCAGATGATAGCTTTTAAACTTCTGTAGAGTACAATTGTAAAGTCCAAAGGGAAAAATACATACAATTGCTCAACTCTTACAACAATATTCATCACTATATACAAACGTTGTTGTTGTCACTGAATCTTAATGCTTTGCAACCATTTGATCACTTTGAATGTTGATGATGGTTCATATGAATAGCCAGAAAATAACAAAAATAGTTTGTTTCAGACTTGAAAGTCAGATGCTTTGTCTTGTTGATGTTATTTTGGATGGGAGAGTACCTTGTGGAACTTTCCAAGTGTGTGTAAGTGAAAATAATTTTAAACAAGATATCTGCATTTAATTCATATTCTCTGGTACCTCATGATGTTATTGTGCTGAGTTCATATATATCTTACTATGTAATGAGGGAGTTTTAATCTGTATATGTAAGGAGACCAATTTTGCAGTGTGTGAACAAATATATGGAGAGATTAAATGGGTCAAAATTCTGACCTACATTACAGATAAGTGAAATAGTATATTCCACATCTACATTTCTTTTCTTGCGTATACAAATGAACTGTGGCATTTGATTCATTTGCAAAAGTGTAGTAATCTAGTAATCCAATTCTGGAGAGACCAAAATGTATTAAATATTATTTGAGTCATTGAGTTCACTTCTGTGACAGTTCAGAGACAGAATATACTGGTTTAGAAATCAGTCTTTGTTGACCTGAGTGAAGTTAATTTTGGATAGAAGAGAACACTATCTACTGTACTCTAACTTTCATGCAAAATCAGATTATATTAAATGGACTTCGAAGCTCACCAAATATCATGTATCAAAAGTATATAAAAATTTCCCCTCTCACTTTCTTCTTGCTTTCATTACTGCCTCTTTGTTCTTTCTGTCACTTCTACTTCCTAAAATGTGGGAATAATTCCTTGATTTTTCTTCTTAAAATGTCCTCTCTGTATGATGTTCTGAAAAACACATACGTCTCTGCATGATAATTGTCTTAATCTGACATTTCATTCTGCATAGTTTCTTGTAGCATTTTTATCCTTTTCCAGTCCTCTTCCCAAGTCCTCCCACACTGTATGCTATTTCAAATGTCTGTTCTCAGCCATGGATAATTCTGAGCCTTTTCTTCCTGCAGTCCTTACAACAAGAATGTATAAAAGGAGAAACAGCTTTCTTTGGTCTCCTTTTATTTCCTTCTCTTTTCTTCTTTCATTATTATTCCTGTATTGGCTTTTAACTTCCCTTTTATGAATTTTCCTCTTTGAACAGTGAGTTTCCTTTCTGTCTTCTCTTTCCTCAAGTTTCCTTTGTCTTTAAAGAAGACAATTGAAATTAATTGAATATTTTCTTCCTTGTTTGTGGAAGACTGTTATTTACTGGATGGGAGGACAGAAGGGAAAGTAAGTCAATGATATCCTCCAAGTCAAGAGCAGCCAATATTATTTTCTATATGTATTTTTGTTATCTCAAAAATATATCACTAGTATATAGATGTTAGATTCAGATGAGTACAAAATTATGACTAAGTATTACAGTACAGATTTTCCAGAGAGCAATTTTAATTAGCCTATAATGACATTCTGGATTATAAGTCAGAGTGGCTTATGATAAACAAGGAAGTTTTGAAGATAGAGCATTAATGTTATGTTTTAAAAATAAAATACTTTACTGCTTGTACCTGAGATCAGCAACCTGTTCCACAGAACTTTCCTGTGGTATGAATAAAGTAGAGTTTTCCTACCCTTTCATACAGGCAGTCTGCTGTAAGTATGGATTATATTTTCTATTTTTTATCATTCTTTTCCATTTACTGAATTTTTGTGTTTATTGCATATTGTAAACAAGTTTTTGCTTGCAGTCTCTGGAACAATAATTCTATTAGGGCTTCCATAAGATATATATTCTTTCTGTCAAATAATAGATTCATCCTTATGCCACTTTCATTTGGTCTATAATTAGCTTGAGTTTTAACATTTAGCTGTGGATTCTACATGTGACTTAAGATCTTGTTATTATATGAATTCCTAGGAATTGTTAGTCCTTCTGTTTTTATTTACTCGGACTTGTTACAGAGATGGTAAAACTGAAAACTCTTTACAATATTCATGCAAAGTGATGGATGATATTTTTCATCTTTGCTATGCTGCTTAGTTTCTGCAGCAGGTTCCTGCCTGTCTTCAAGAAGTTAGCTGATATTTTTCCCTACATGCTGTAACTTTCTCTTTTATTAAAAGCAGATCAAGAAAGTAAGTGTAGAACCTTTAAGGCTTTTCATTTTTAAGTCACTGTCAAGAGAGTACAGTGAAGTTTTGTTGAACTATTTGCCAAATATTAGATCACAGTATTCACAGTTGCAGAGAATGAACATGTTTGTTTTATCTCTTGTACTGAAAGAGCTGGAAAAAAAACCAACTCACCTATTCCTTGACTTCACTGAACCTCTTTTCTAAAGGTTGGTTGAAGAGCCAATGTTTCTGTCTGAAATGACTTCTACCATGAGAGCTACAACTGCACACTGTTTAACAATTTATGAGAGTGCTGATTATCTAAATGTAAAAGGAAATAATTCTATTTCCAGTCAGTAAAAGCCTTCCGTATCTTCTCATTTCTATATATGGCTTCAAAATAATGCAGTATTGCGTATTAACTTTTCTAGTGTTGAGTTCTTGCATAAGAGTATTCCCAATACATCCTACTTAGGCAATTAATAGACACACTGGGCAGTTCTGTACTTCTTCCCAGGTTATTGTGAGACAGTCATAATTCCAGATAATTTGAAAGGCATTGTTCGCATGTTCATAAATATGATTTGCGTAAGAAATGTTTATCTTTTTGTGGGTTTGATTTTTGTCTTCTAATAAAGATAGCTGACTCAAAAATATGGGGAGTTTTTCACAGTATGATCTTGGATCAATGCTGTAGTCACTGGATTCCAAGAATTAATTTTCTGGTGAAATCATTTTTCTATGTAGAGTGAAACTAAAACATGTGTTGGCTTGTTTCTGATTTAATACTTACTTAGGAATTAGTTTAGTTAGGCAGGAAATCCCTGTGTTCATTAAACTTCACCTTATTTTCGCTTTGACTTTTTCCCAATATTGATCCATTTGAGTTTTCAACAGTACAGCAAACTATGGGAACTCATGCATACAGATTTGCATTCTCAACAGACATGTTTTATTGAACTACTTCATTAAACATTAAAAATTTGTCTTCAGAGAGACAGGTTGAAGTATTCCTTTCAGCTTTTCCTTGATATTTAAACATTTTTATTGTAAAAATATTAACAAAAATAAACAAAATATTTCAATACAAAACTACAATTTGATTTCCCAAATAGAATGATTGTTATTTTTGATAACAGGAAAAAAGGCAGAGTTACCAGAGTGGTGCTCAGAGCATGCAGATGTATTTTACAGCATAAAACATTAGCTAAGAAAATGGAATTCCCAATATGTAATCTCTAAACTGTAGGGGGAAATCATGTGGAATGGTAGTTGTATTCTGAATAAGCAGAGCTGCTACTTTGGGGAAAAGAAGTCTTTTTATTGCCTAAGTGGAGTGTCAGAATGCTTTCGTGGCAGAATTTTTGAGTTTTCCTTGACAGGCACTTTCACAGTACGTTAGTGAAGAAAGTATGGAAGGCATGCCTCTGGGTCCAATGTTCGTATCTATTCTGAAGTCTCTAGGGAAATTAGATGCTTATTCTTTGTATTACATTATTTTATTCAGAATGTTTAACATTAAAAATGGCATCTCAGTTGTACTGTATTCTTTTCCATCTAAATTGTTCACTACACCTAGTTGCTACATACAGCTCAGCAACAAAAACTGATGCTGTATCTGAATGGTACAAATACATTTAAGATCATGATTTGTCATTTTAATGAGCTGAGTAATGCTAACTTTGAAGGAGTAAACTAAAGGAAAATAAACGCTTTTAAGCTATTTTTTTCCTGCGAGGCATTCTAACCTACAGGTTTCCAAGCAGTTTCCTCTGTGCTCGACAAATAAAGGAGTTAGGCAAGAGGCCGATTATAGGCATATCCTGTAAGATACTGAGCATACTTGCTTAATACAATGGAACGCTTGCCTAGTACAGCGAAAAGGTTAGCACCTGATGGGCTACTTTGCACTAAAAGAGTGCTTGAGAGTTGGGGTGGTGGTGCTAAGTTAAAACCTGTGATTCTAAGTGTTCTCTCAGATGTAAAGAGAACACTTTACCACTATTCAGTCCGAAATTGCTATTATCTGGTGTTTGCTAAGAGAGAGATACATATGTATTAGAAAATTACTTAACTGGAATTTACAGCATAATAGCATTCCATTCATGCTAGAATGACCTGCCAGCTGCTCGTGTGAAATATCTCCTTTCTTTAGCCCTCTTTCTTTGTACCACCAACTAGCAACACAAGCACTCGGATTTGATCCCCTGTTTTTTTAAATAAGAGAAGTGGAGAAGAAGTTATGTGAGGAATGATAGTACCATTAAATGTTAAATCTATTTCATGTATTTTTGTTATCTGAAATAGCTAGGTTCATCCATTCCAAAGCCTACCTTGAATTTCAAGAGTTCTATGAAAAAGAGCAAAAAAAAGACAACTTGTAAGAAGAGTAGGCAGCTGCAGAAACTGTTGTTTCTAAAAGCAGGAAAATCTCTATATAAAAAGGTATAAAAGCTGCCCACTGCTCTGGTAACGAAGCGTGGTAGGTGGCTACCAATTGGATAGATTTCTTTTGTTGTATGCAGTTGAAAAGAATGAAATCAGTGTGTCTCAGTAACTTGGTAATGTTTAAAAATTCCACAAGTAAAATTTCAATTTAAAATGATAAAGCCATAAATAGGGCTGTAAACAATAAATGAATTATGGATTAATCTTCACCAGTAAATACAACTGATGAGCTGTTGTATATCCTCATAGTGTTTAGATGAGCTGTAGTGAAGGGAGTGAACCCTCATTTTCTGCATTTCAGGTGACCTGCTGTTGTTTGCTAAAATATTTCTTATGCTAAAATGAGATAACAATATGGCTGAATAGATTCCTAGAATATTCTAAGAAAATTACGCTAACTTCGTATTTAATTTTCTCAGTGATTTAGTTAATTTTACCATTAACACCTGAATAACTATAAATAGCTTACTAGCTTGATTTTATTACAATTTTCCAGTTTTCAAATTCATCAAGGTATCCTTTTATCTATGAATATGTATGTGTGAATATATACAGCTGTGAGACTATGCATTTGGGCCGTATCAGAGACCACAAGGCACTGTATTTAAGTATGAAAACACATTTGCTGTACCTTTTACTAAAGTTGTAGAAGGGACACAAGAAGAGTCTTTGTGTCCAAATTAGTATATTAGAATGAAAGAATACTTTTTGAAACAGCAGTAAGAATGTATCTGTAAAGATTTGAATCCATTACTCTAAGTGAGAACCAATGATTTTAAGTATTTCTGTTCCCAATGTACACTGAGTATTAACATAAAAATTATTTTACATTACATTAACAAATAGTTTTGTGCATTGGAAATTGATCTACAAAGTTGGATAGTTGAAACTGTGTAACTTGGATTCCATGTTCCTACCATATGTTCTTGGGAAACCTTTCAGATTAGCTCTGGTCTGGTTTTTGAGACCAAATACCTCTCTGAAGTCAGGGTAAATCAGCCATGCTGCTACTGCACTTCTTCTGGTTTAGTTTAATCGGAAGGAATCTAATTGGCATGCTCTGAAACTCTTCCATGAGGCAAATTGAAGTACAATGAGGGAGATCAAGGGATTCGAGTCAAAAGCATCTTTCTCTTCAGAAC